TCCCCCAAGCACTTCGTGAGCCGGAAGACGCACCAGAAGCGTCCAAGCCAGAAGCAAGAGCCGCAGGACAACGTCTCCCTGAGTAAGTAACAATTCACTTCGCTTTGAGGCCCTAGGTCTCCATTAGACCTCTGATTTTCGCGTGGGTATACGAGCAACCCCGCTACTTGCGAGCCTCCAGGCGTTAAGGCAGAACAGTGCCACCTGCGCTGCCATTCGCACGTACAAGCCAGGTACTATCTGAAACCTACGTTCGGAACTTCAAGGCGCTACCGTGCTGCTTGTAGACAGGCCTACCCACCCTCGCGCTGCCGTTACGTTGGCATGCTCCGACCAGAGACATGGCTCCGACGACTCGCCCGGGTCGGCCTGTTTGGATCCGGTAACGGGAGTCCTTGCCAACTTGCTTACCGTACCCTGCCCGAACGCGCAAGCCCAAGCCGAAACTGCGGCCTGGGCTGGGTCACGACGTTGTCGTTCGCCCGCAGAGACGCCGAAGTGACCGAGGCCGCATTTTTGGCCGGTAGCAAGGCGATTTGCCTAGGAACGACAACGTTGTGACCCAGCCCCTGCCGCAGTTTCGGCTTGGGCTTGGGCTTGCGCGTTCGGCTTGGCTTTACTTGATAAAACAACGCTGTGCTCTACAGCCGCTGCCGAGTCGCCGCCTGCTGGTGCTGCTGGGACCCGCGGGCACCAAGCGCGGGCCGGAGGGGACCGCGGCCTCCAGGACGCCGCCGGGGAGGCACCTCACCGCTGCGCGACCTGCGGGGCGGTCTTCAGGAGGGCGGCCCTCCTCCGGGCCCACATGCGGAGCCACGCCGCCGATGAACTGGACAGCGGGGAACACTGCGGCGTCAGGTCACCGGATAGTGCTGACCTCCGTAGACACACGGGGACTCGCGCAGGTGATGGACCTTACAGCTGCCAGAGTTGCGGAAATATATTTAGTAAGAGGACCGCACTTCGTAGACATCTGAAGACTCACACAGTTGAGAAGCCTAACGAGTGCCAGGCGTGTGGAAGAGGGTTTATTGAACGCACCGCCCTCCGTAAACACATGAGGACTCACACATGTGAGAAACCTTATGAATGCCAGACTTGCGGAAAACGGTTTACTGAACGCGACACACTCCGTGTACACATGAGAACTCACACAGGTGAGAAACCTTATGAATGCCAGACTTGTGGCACAGAATTCAGGCAACGTGGTAATCTCCATGTGCACATGAGAACTCACACAGGTGAGAAACCTCACAAATGTCAAACTTGCGGCAAGAGATTTTCTCGCCGCTCTGCACTTCGTATACACTTGAGGGTTCACACGGGTGAGAAACCTTACAAATGCCTGACTTGTGGGGCAGGCTTCACTACGAGTTCTACTCTCAAAGTACACATGAGAACCCACACGGGTGACAGACCGTATATCTGCCAGACTTGTGGGGCAGGTTTCTCTGTGAGTACTACTCTCAAAGTACACATGAGAACCCACACGGGTGACAGACCGTATACCTGCCAGACTTGTGGGGCAGGTTTCTATGTGAGTACTACTCTCAAAGTACACATGAGAACCCACACGGGTGACAGACCGTATATCTGCCAGACTTGTGGGGCAGGTTTCTCTGTGAGTACTGCTCTCAAAATACACATGAGAACCCACACGGGTGACAGACCGTATATCTGCCAGACTTGCGGTAAAGGGTATATTGACAGCACAGGCCTCCGCAGACACCTTAAGACCCACACAGGTGAGCACCCTTACATCTGCTAGATTTTCCCACGACTTCTCCTCTCATAAGACACAGAGGGTCAAAACAGAGTTGTTAGTTTACATTTACCATATTTTTGGCAAAGGTTTGTCTTAATGTGGGCCATCTTTGCAGTCATACACCGATAAGAAGTCTTTTATGCCACAACTTTTAAGTGGGAGTAAAAACTCTGCGGACACATGAATATGTACCATCATGGATTGTAATAGGAGTTATTCTTATTGAGAGCGACCATCGTAACGAAATCGAACTATTTAATGTATTTCTCGAGCTAGTTTTAGTTTTCTGTTTTTAGTATCTGTTTGCAGGTTGTTTGCCTTTTTTAAATTACTCTGTAATTATTAGTACTCTGTGATTATTTTGCGTTTTTGCTTTTATCGTCGCCAATTTGGCTCTGTGGATTTTTTATTACCCTATAACTGTAGTTTACGAGTTTATTTAATAAATCTATGTACAAACAAGCACTATAGAGAATGGTATTTTCGCGCCACCGAAGGCAATCCACGCTTTTCCTAGGGTTCACCAGCGAGCCGCACTGCCTTGTCTGGTTTGCTCTCGATTTCGCTCAGTGTGTGTAGTGTGCGGCACGCACATACTGCCGTCACTGTACGCACGCCTCTGTGCGGTGACCTTCCCCCGAGCAGCGGCAAGTTGCCGAATGTCCATAGGGCGGCACTCTGGTTGGCTCTGCGTTTGTTGCTTTGCTCTCCGCTGCTCCGCTCGCCGCGCCACCTTCAAACGTGCCGGCCCCGGGCAGGTCGCCGGGTACCCGCCGTGAGGACGTGCGGCGGCGGGTCCAGCGCTACCCTCTTCGTGCGACCTCGCGACCTTACAAGTACCCACACAGTCGCCTCTCCGAGAGCTCAGGCGCGCTCCCCTCAAAAGTATTTCCTCCGTATGCGAGCCCGAGAGTAATCTATCCTTTCTCTCATTTCAGGCGCCGCAGCCGGGGCCAGGACTTCCAGGCTCAAGGCCCACCGGCCGAGGACCCCCGCGACCTCCCGCTTCCCCAAGCGAGCCACGAACAGCAATACGCTCAAGGAGGCAGAGCCGCAGGACGACGCCCACCCCTGTAAGTATCACTGCGGCGGACAGCTGCAGCTGGCGCAGGCGCATGAAGGCGTGCGGGCGTGTTGCTTATGCGCGCCCTTGCCCTTGTGGCCAACGCGCCCGTACACCGGTATGCACTAACCTACTGCACCCCCCGCGTCGGCTCGCCGGCTATATTCAGGGACCGACAGGCGCAGTATAGGGTCTAGTGAGCCGCATGGAATTCAGGCACTTTGTGCCACAACACCCCTCTTAGTAGGCAACCCACGGGGCACCGTCCCCCTGTCAGCCGGACCCTATACCGCGCCTCAGAGTCT